CCTGCCCGCGCCCGGCTGGCGACGCCCCGTGGAATTACCGCCTTGCCCCCGGCTGCTCCCCAGCCCTCCCGGGTGAGGTTCCCACCGCCAGCTGTAAGGAGCGTCGTACCCAGGACGGCGGGAAACTGCACACTAGCTCGGTCCCCCGGGACGTGCCGACCCCTGCAGTGAGGCATGAGATTTTTGTCCTGTGTTGTATCCATTTCCCATGGCCATTGCTGCCTGGCCTCCAAGTAGATTTCTAGAACCACTGTCTTTTCACGAACTACCTTTGTCCTTAAACTGAACTCAGCGCCCCCCCCCCCAACCAAAGAAAGAACCTACCTTAAGGTCTAAATGATGCTGCCTTCGAAAGGTTGCTTTCAAGTGACAAATGATACTGTTTTCGCAGCTATCTGCAACTTTGGTGAGAACCACTGAGAGTACAGCAAGAGTGGGGGTGCTCGGGAGGTTCACAGCATCAGCGGCTGTCGTGACCCAAGCAGCAGAGCACAGTAAAGGTGTGAGCAGCGCGGGGTCCACCGGCGTCCACAGGCTTTTCTTCCACTGCGTCTCTCCACCCTATGCTAGTCAATACTGTGGGGCCGCGGGATGACGGAGTAACATTTGTACCCAGCCCTGTGTCTTCTGAGACAGAAGTAGGTGGGCAATTTGGGGTTAAGATCCAGCCTGAGCTCCAGAGCACCACTCCCAGCGTGGCGCTCAGAGGCCGTGGTAAGAATGAGGTTAGCAGCAAGAATGAAGTTATCTTGGTTTTGTAAGCGCTTGTATAGTTAGGGTAGTTGGGTGCACATAGGCACCCAGTTCAAACTGACTTAAGAAAGGGTAAGGCAGAGGGGGTTGAAATTTATTTGGCCCATATATTTATATATCCCAAGAGCAGAGCTGGCAAAAAAACAAAAAACAAACAGTAACAACAATGAAAATATCCTTTAAAATCCTTTTCTGGTTTTCCTCCAGATGCTCGAGAGTGTCCGGACTCCGTTTCTCCCGTATCTTGGCAGTGCTTTAGTGACACTGGCTCTGTTTTCTCTAAACAGGGGCAAAATCTGCACTTCCAGACTTACGGTAGCAATTGATCCCACTGCGAGAGAGCAGGCTGAGGATCGTTCTCCTTGGACCCACCTGGATCCTTTGCTGGCCTCTGAACCAGCCATTCTAATAGTCAGGCTCGAGTCATTTGCCCATACCTGAAAAACCTCAAGGGAAATAGCCTTAGTTTCCTATTCTTCCACACATCCAATCCAGATGAACTAGTGGAAGAGAAAATTTTCCAAACGACAATTCAGGTAGTATTAAGAAAGAAGTAAAATAAAATGTGAACCATAGATGTCTGCTACTGTCCACCATTCTCCAACGCGTACTATGTCAGTTAGGAGCACTACCGCGCAAAAGGACCGCCTACATCTGCTCCTTTACTAGTAGTCTAAAGATCAGAAAAACAAGAATGCTAATGGCCACAGAGTTGTAAGTAACTGAACCAATCATCCGTGTTCTTTGACCTCAGGAGATAGTTTAAAAACTACTTCCAAGACGGTTGTCGTGGCTCACACCTGTAATCCCAGCACTCAGGAGGCTGAGGCAGGAGGATCCTTGTGAGTTCGAGACCAGCCTGGACTACCAAGTGAGCTCAAGGCCAGCCTGAACTGCATAGCGAGACCCTGTCTCAAAAAGACAAAAAAAATAAATAAATAAATAAAAATTTTAAAAAACTACTTTCTAGCAAATAATATCTAAAACATAATTGTATCTTATAATTTTCCTCCTAAATTATGATACCCAGCCTTGGTTACTATGTAATCATTTCAACCTGGTAAGAGTTCACAGAAATAACTTGGTATGCATTATTCATTCACTTGGAAAAAAAATGTAGCAAATAAACAGTCACATTCAGTATTCAAGTGCCACAGGGCTCCTCTTCGTCATTACAGTTCACTGCTGTCTTTATCTTTTCAGAAATAGCATGGAGGACTTTATACTTTGCCTACCAAAAATGCCAGGTTTTGCTTTTTTCTTCCCACACGGGAACCTTTCCTGAATAGTTGCTAATTTTAGAAGTATTGTATTTTTCTTCTTTCATTTGTGCACTTTATAGAATTCATATAAAAATACACATAAACCTGGAAAATACTTTAAGATAATCTCAAACATCCTCTTAATTTCGGGGATAAAGAAATGAAAGCTTCAATGGTTGACTTGTGTGGATCCATCCACCTGTTTTTAGCATTTGTCATGTGCCTAACTCCAGCCAGATAGAAGGAAAAGCATAGAATGTTATCACTGTCTTCAAAAAGATCAAAATTAGACAAGAAACTATCTAAAACATGAAACAATTAGCATCACAATATATAATACAGTTTAGCATGAAAAAATTTGTGTTGAGTGCTATATTTAAAAATAGGCATTGGAAGCCAGGCATGATGGCACACACCCATAATCCCAATACTTGGGAGGCTGAGGCGGAAAGATTACCATGAGTCTGAGGCCAGTCTGGACTACATAGTGAGACTCTGTCTCAAAAAAAAAAATAAAAAGGCATCAGAATTAGAGGTACTATAGACTAGTCCTGAAAGCTTTTTTTTAAATCAAGAAAGCAGCTTGATAGCTTTTTAAAAACCCAGAGATAAGCCAGGCATGGTGGCCCACACCTGTAATTGCAACGTTCTAGATACTGAGGCAAGAGGATCACTGCAAGTTGTAGACCAGCAGGCACTTCGTCATCGAGAGTTCAAAGTCAGTCTGAACTACATAGCAAGACCCTGTCTCAAGAAAACAAAAACCCAGAGGTAAAAGGAAGAGACTTTCCAACTGAGAAAACAGAAAATGAGAAGCCACTGATGGGAAAAAGATTACCACTTGTCCAAATAGAATGGAAACCTGAGCTACACCCCCCCCAACCATTATTGTTTTAATTAAACAAAATCAGATATCAGCCTGTTGGGGGGCTGGGGATTTAACTCAGCGGCACTGCGCCTGCCTGGCAAGCGCAAGGTCGTGAGTTCGATCCCCGGTACCGGAGAAGAACAAAAAACCCCACAAAAAACAAAAACAGATAACAGCCTGTAATACTTGTGTTTCATTATCATGTTTGTTCTGAGCTATGATATAAATTCTGTCTTATTTTGAGTCACGTTCAAAATAAGTTCAATAGTGGTTGTTCTGAAACCAAATAGACTGGTTATGAAACTTTACTTTGTAGCAAGACGTTAGGAATTTAACATCTTTCCAAGCACTATGTGCAAGAAATTTTCAGCACAGTCATGTGTACACAGTAAGAGCTATAAATGGTACCACTTACTGATTGTCTAGATTGAACATTTTCAAACCTGACTGAAAGATTTTCAAATATAACACTACCTGGGGCCCAGTCTGAGACAGATTCAGTCCAGTTACTGCATCCGAATGTCCGTGAGATTAAACCCAGGAAATAGCTGAGAACTCCTGGATGGTACCCATAGCGGAACACATCTAGCACCTGAAGAGTGTGATTATACACTCTTTCTTTCTTTAGTGGACACAGTGACCTTCAGATTTATGCATCTGTTTCTTCACCACGCCGTAGATCGCATGCTCAGTAATCAATAGAATTATAACTACTTTCTACTCTGCATTGCCGCTGAAAAATCAACTGTAGTGCAAACTGCTCATTGTTTAATCTCAGCTAGCAACACAGCATGAATCCTGAATCCTGAGTCATAACCTCTTATGTGCATCTCCACATGAACAAATTTTGGTCAGTTGTCAGCATACAATTGCTTCTGGAGGTGTTAAGGGGAATCAAATGATACTAAAAACTCCCTAAGGAAGAGAAGTGCTAGAAGCAAATGACACTGAAAATCCATAAATGCAGTAATTAGCAAATGACTTATTATTATTCAGTTATTTCTCCTTTTAATAGTGTACATTCTAAATATAATAGTGATGCACTTTTTGTAGTTTTATATTCATAAATTCCTCAAGTATGTTTTCCCTATCTAGGCAGTCCCTCTGTGATGAAGCAGGAAAATCTCCCTCAAATCAAGAACCACTGGTGTCCTGTCTAGGTTTTTTTTCTATGTAAATACAATTTCTTTTATTTTAGTTGGGGAAAAATAATGATAGCATAATTTTGAATCTCCCCAGAGAGACATAGCAACTAAAAAAGAGGGGAGAAACCCTAAAAACTAGAAGTGTGATAACTAAATATTATATGCTTCATTATATAACAAAACCGGACCCACTGTGAAATCTTCTTGCTTAAGCAACTGAAATTAAGTCTAATCAAGCTTCTAGACATAAAAGGAAATACAGAGGAGAGAGGATCAAGTTAAAATCACTCCAAGAACAATCAGTCAAATCCAAGATATTGAACATTCAATAAGAAAAAACACCTGGTTTCTCTAGCAATTTAATGACACTAAAAGAAAACAAGAGTCAGGTTATGAAAAAGTAAGAGAGATATAAAAATTATAATAATTAAGTACAACATGTAAACTTCTGTTTCGAACAAACCATGTGTGAGAGAACCCTTGACATAATCAAGAATATTAGCTTATGGACTACATATTAGATAGTATAAGTGAACTATCTGTTAACTTTGTTACATGTGGTCATTGTGTGTAAATTATATATAAACAAAATAGCATCAGAAGTACATACTGAAGAATGTAAAATCCTTCAAAATATGGAAGGATTAATAGATGAGGAAAGGATTTATAATTTTTGAAGCTAGGAAATGGCTACCCGGAGGCTGTTGTCCTACACTTATTATCCATCCCTTTTATAGAGTATATTTGGAAAGATCCATTTAAAAAAAAAAAACTACTATTTGATGTTGAGCTCACCTTTTATTAAAATTGCTTAGGGCTTGGGATGTAGCTCATTGGCACAGCACCTGCCTGGCAAGCACAAGGCCCTGAGTTCGAATCTTGGTATCAAAAAAAACCAACAACAACAACAAAAATCACTTGTTATGGTTTGTGTCCAGATGTTCCCCCCAAAGCCTCATGCAGTCATGGGGTCGGCTTCTAGAGTTTATGATTAGTTCATGATCCAATGCTGGGATTCTGGGTGTGAGTGCTATAGCAAGCTTCTTTCCCTCCCTTATTCAGGTTCCCTGCCCCAGGGTGGGTATAGCACTCAAACCCATAATCCCAGCATTGGATCATGAATTAATCACAAACTCTAGAAGCCTGCCCCATGAAATATAAAGGAGGGAAAGAGGCTTCCTCTCTGTTGCTCCTCTGTTTTCGCTCTTGCTGCTTTTGCTGTTTTCTGCCGCCGTGAACTGTTGTCCTCTGCCATGTGCCACTCTGCCTTGGAGCCAGCTGAGTATGGACTGAAACCTCCACAAACTGTGAGCTAAATAAACCTTTCCTTCCTTAATTTTGGGTGTCAGGTATTTTGTCTCAACAATGAAAGAATAGTAACTAAGACATCACTTATTGCATGTCATGCTTATAAACAAGTTGTTAGGCTCAGAAATCTACTATAGTATTTTTTTCTGTATTCATATTCAAGGCATCTTTTAACACATTACACACTGAAGACAAGGCCCTATTGCCAGTATTTTTGCTTGGTGGCTTAGCATTTGGACAGAAGATTAAAAAATGAGAGTCTCAGTGGGGAGACTGCATAACCACTGCAATAGCTGGCCCTCTGAACTTGAGGTGTTCACCCAAGTATCTCTGTATTTTTATTCTTTATCATGTGGCTGGTAATTAATGGTTAGCTTTAGCCACCATCCCAACGTGGAATATCCATGGTCAAATTTATAGGTGTGTTCATAAATATAAACTGGCTGGATGCTTCTACTCCTTTGTAAGCCTTAATAGATATGATCTTTTGGCTTTTTCCCCCTTCCCTCACTATATCCTCTCCCACTGTTTTCCACCCCCTTGATTAAGCTTGTGTGCACACACACAGTATACACACACACACACACACACACACTCTTATGCACCAAGTAAACATTGCAGTGTTAAGTAAGATCCAACAGTCCAATGCCAAAGGAGTAAAGAGCACCCATCCAGCCTACTTTTAGTCCATCTTGTCTCATGTTTCTCCAGCACTTGTATAAAGTTAACTATTGAGCTGTAATTAAATTTTAAGATAGGGTAATCTTAAATACGTTCATTTAATTATTTATTAGTTAGAAAACAGAATACATCGGTCTCATTCTATACCTTAGCTCTTAGGAGGAAGCTAGGTTTTTAAAATTAGTCATTTAAAAATACTAAGTGAATAAATCTGCAGATATTTTAAGGATATGTTAAATTCATGAAGGTGCTTCATATATGACTAAGAGTTTTAAAACTCTGCTTAATAAAAGTGGAAAGAGACGTCATAGTTCACACACTTCCTGATTCAGCAGGAGCTGCACTAAAAATGCAAGTTTTCATAATAGTTGAGTAAATGCTTTGGAATTGAAAATTGCAATTTTTTTCACCATGACAGAGGGAACTTAGGCACTTACTTAATATTTCCAACCTTTAGTTTGTTCATCTATAAAATAAGAATAGAAATAAAGTGTTGCAGGATTAAATAAGACATCCATGTGTAATACTTATTACAGTTCCTAATATAAAGTTAACATCAGTGCATAC